GTTTTGGGTTTAGGGTTTACGGCTTAAGTTTTAAATGACCTCAGACTAGGATCCCTATTATAATCGCATTCAGGGAGAACGGTCCGGTCTACTAATCAGGTGTCTACGTTACCTATCAGGGCAGTAGGGGCAAAAAGGTTCTCAGGATTTTGGCTTCCCCGCCCAATATCTGAAAAAAGGCAACCTGAAAATGACAGACCCCTACTCACTTCATACGGTTCAAGGTATCTTGCCCTAAGCCCTAAACCCTGAACCCTAAACCGTCAAGAAGGGACACAAATCTGGAGAACCGCCCGCATAGCTTCATTGACTTGGGGGCTCTTCGGCGGTTTTACAAGGTTCCTTTAAGTGTTCTGAAGGATTCCGCGAAGGGCTTTTGCAAGGGGTTCGATAAGGGTTTACAGGCCTGGGGGTTTTCAAATTTTTTTGGGGGTTGAGGGATGGAGGTCTCAGGGAAGAGATACGTACTTGAGTAAAACCGAAGCTTGGCCATCCCTGTCCGTATCCAACCCGTCAACCTTGTTCTAGAGCTGGTAGCTTCGAAGTTCTCGAAGACTGCGCTTCCCGCTTCCAAGACCATGTTCAAGGAGGAGTCTTCTGCGATCCACACTTCCACGTCATAGAGGTTCCGAGGTGCAGAGGCTGATCACAGGGAGGCTTTCTAAGGCGGGGTGAGTGTCCATTACTCCCTCAGGCATCGAAGCCGCGTGCGGCCGTCGTTGCTTCGAGTCTTGCACAAGATGCCATCTACTTGGAGGGTCGGGGGACTTAGTAGCTACTGATTTTATAGACTTATGAGTATCATAACCCCAATTAGGGGACCTTTTAGGGTAGTTTTGAATAAGTCTACCTATTATCTATATATATATATATAGAGAGAGAGAGAGATATACACTTACTAAGTCTCCCGACCCTCCAAGTATCTCAACATCTCTGCACTTCTCCACGGAGTGCTACGTGACTACCCGGAGCGCGGACAGGATCGCGTTGCCAGGGGCATTTTGCAGCCTGGGAGGCCTCCTTTGCCAAGGGCGGCTTATGGCAATACCACAAGGCGTAAGCGGTTTAGGGTTTAGGGTTTAGGATGTAGGGTTTAGGGTTTAGGGTGTAAGTACCCTCTTTGGGATCCTCACTGAGGGTATACTACCTCGTTGCCAGGGTGTTGGTAGAGGGAATGCAGAGCATTGCCGACGCATAGTTTAGGTACCCCTAACCCTAAGCCCTTTTAGGGTTTAGGGTTTAGGGTTTAGGGTTTAGGGTTTAGGGTTTAGGGTTTAGCTTAGCCTGAAGTCTAGAGGTCTTGAAGGCCTTTAGGGCTTGGAGCTTAGGTTGTAGGGCCGCAAAAACTATTTCTGTCGGGTTCAGGGCTTAAGGTTTAGGGTTTAGGGTGAACTTATGGCGTAGGGTTTAGGGTTTAGGGCTCCAGCACCTAACTACTGAGCACTCGGGACCTCTAGGGAAGATACTGCAGAATTTGGGCCAGCCATCGATAGTCTTTTGAGGAGCAAGGTCATGGCTCGCTCCGTGAGGCATGAACCCAAAAGCCAAGGGGCTAGACCTAAAATGAAGGGCCCTGAACCAATACGGTTGATGATACCAAATCCTGCATTACCCATAATAAGGAACACAACATAATTCCCATAGTTCAGGGTCCTTGAGGCAATGCAGGATTTCTATCATAAGCAAAGCAAATCTGCTTTGGTGTACCTTCGGGCTTAGGGTTGGGGATTTGGGGCCCGAAGCCAGAAGCCCCACGACAACATGCAAGGTGGCAGCTAACTCAAGTCCACACCCAACCCCTAAACCCTAAACCATAAACCCTAAACCCTAAACCCTAAACCCTAAACCCCTAAACCCCTAAACCCCTAAAGCCCTAAACCCCTAAACCACTAAACCCTAAAAGGGCTCCATCATCCCAAACTAATAGAAAGAGCCTCAGCCCCAGACTGCTCAGGGGTTCGGATTTAAGGGTTTAGGGTTTAGCGCCAACTTAGGGTTTAGGGTCCACTTACGCTTTAGGATTTAGGGTCATCGGTTGAGGGTTTAGGGTTCAACTTAGGGCTTAGGGTTTAGGGCTTAGGGTGCTGGTTTGAAATCAGAGGCTTTAGGCTCGTAGACCCTATCTCGGACCCAGGCTGGATCGTCTGATGGATCACCTTTTCGAGGGCACCCGATGTGTCCAAGACGG